CCGGGATCTGAAAACAAGCACGCCTGATTCCAGCGCTGGGGGCTTTTACGACACTCAGTGCTTTCTAGACCAGACACACACGTATACGTTAAAACACATGACAAAGAGCTGTCAAAGTGCAGAAGCAGACAGAGTGGAAACCATGCACCCATCACTTTTAGGAGGAGCTGGGGGCCCATCAGAGTTGCTGTAGATGGACTGCTTGAAGGGAAAGTAAGCAAAACCTCATGGGAACACTCAGAGGTCAGATTCTGAGGTTTCTTTCAAATAATTTGGTTTAATAAGAATAATAAGCCACAGATATGTGGCTCGTTCTCTGCTGTAAAATCGCATTATCTGGCCAAACTGATCTCTCCATCCAAATACTCGGGCATGACAAGCTGCAAAAGCAGTTCATGCTCAAAACAGCCACTGGGAGGCTATCTCCTTGATTTGCTGTGTGACTGTGGTGGAGCCACTGACCCTCTCTGAACTTCTCATGAGCTGTAGAGGCTGGCTTCATTCAGGCAGCAGGAAAGAAGGAGGCTTCTCAGAGAGGCTTTTGAATCAGTGTGGTTTCTCTTCCTTGGAAAGGCAGGGTGGGGGCAGATAGGTAGAAGTGATATCCTCAAAACAAAGAGAAAGTAGTTTTAAACTTCTGGAACACCATGCTAGAGAGCTGGCATGCATGCAGTAATCCTGCTTCTTCATTAAGAAGTAGGAGAGCCCTGGCTGGGTGGCTCAGTTGGTCAGAGAGTCATGCTGTACACCTAAAGGTTGTGGGTTCAATCCCGGTTGGGGCTCATAGCTAGGTTGCAGAAATGATCCCTGCTTCAGGTGTGTACAGGGCTAGGGGCGGGGGCAGCAACTGATCAATGTATTTTTCTCACAACGATGCTTCTTTCTCTCTCTTCCTTCCTCTCTCTCTCTCTCTCTCTCTCTCTCAAATCAACAAATATAGCCTCGGGTGAGGATTAAAAAAAAGAAGTAGGGCAAAAAAACATTTTCCATTAAGAGGCTGACCTGCAGAAACGGGCCTGAAGCCTTCTGGGAAACCACCCACTAAGACTCAGATAAGTAGACTGTCCGGTCCTGAACCCTGAGCACACGGGCCTCCTGCCCCATGCTAAGCAGTGTTCTCAAATGGCTCAGCTCACAGTGCAACTGCAAACTGCAACTTAATTCACTTTGGTTTAATAATTAAACAAAAAGTACCTAACACTTCGAGGAAAGTGAGAATAGGGCAGGAAAAGATAGTGGGGAACCAAAATAATATGTGGATGTTAACTCTGTTGAAGCAGCATTTGCTTGCTGGATAAGGGCTGGGGAAGGGGGCCATTATTCTGGGCATAGCAAGTGTTTTATCTGCAACTGACAAATCCCAAATCCTGCAAGCTTCTGTTTCTCCCTACTTAAGACCTGGGTCACAGTATTTATTTACTTAAGTGATGGAGATGAAGGGAAGCTTAACTCTGGCCACCTGTCAGAATAACAGTAACCAGCCTCTTAAGGGGATTTCAGCGACCCCCAGGACCCAGCATCTTTATAAGACAAAAAGGGATTGGGAGAAAAGCGTAGGAGAAATAACTCACTAATTGAGCTTGCAGGAGGTGGTGAGCTGGAAGGTAAGGACTCCAAGGGGAGAGAGATGCTGAGATCCACGGGTGCCACTGAAAGCAACATGAAAGCAAACAGGCCCCTTCCCATTCTGAGATTAGAAGGGATTTTGCAATATGATACCCAAACTGAAAAGTCAGGCTCTCTTACCTGCCTCTTGCAAATGCCCTTGGGGTTCTTCATATTCTTATGAAGAGAGGTTCAGTCACAGTTTCCAAGAAATGCAAACAAAAACATTTTCTCAGAAATAATACCACCTGTGCTCTAGAGGGTGAGGAGTCAACAGACAGGTCCTGCCTGGAGAACCTGGAGGACCTGGAGGCAGCATGGGGACCTTGATTAACAAACACGCACGCACCACCTACTGGATGTCAGGCAGTGATCTCCAAAGATTAACTCATTAACGATGTACAACTTCATCATCACCCACACTTTACAGAGACGGTGTGCACCCTGCCAAAGGCAGCCCCGTGTTAATGGGAGGCGGAGCCAGGCTGGCAGGCACGCCGCCCCGGCTCCTGGCTCTCACCCGCGGTGCTGCGCTGCCAGCGCAGAGGAGGTGGTCCTGCGTGACGTCACAGGGCTACATTGCCCGTGCTGCAGCTGCTCCTACCGGAGGGATAGGAAATGCCCCATTATCAGTTTTATATCAGCTCTTATGTCTGCTCCAGAGGCAGGGTGATGCAAAGGGCATGAGTTAGGGAGTCAGAAAAACCTGGTTTTGAAACTTCCATTTTCCTAGGGAAAATTATTCAACTTTTGGAGCCTTCGTTGCTCATCTAGAAAGCGGGGCTTTATGTAACCTATCCCAGGGTTTTGTGAGGATTAGAAACAAAATATGAGACCTGTTCAGCAGAGTGCCTGGTAATGGAAAGACAGAAACTACCCAATTTGTAAAAATTATTTCAAAGGTTTTGTTTTAAGGCTCATTGGAGATAGCGGCAGGCCTTGGGACCGTCACTCCTGCCCCTGTGGAGGCAAGTCATGCCTATGAAGCGGTGAACCTGGACCAGCTGAAGGAAGCTCTGTCCATGAGCCAGTCTACCCTGTAGATTCTGCAGATGGGGCTGCTTCCTGCCCCCACACAATGAAAAGCAATTCTAGTAGGTGCTAAGCTTAATTAGTTTGTGTCCAGACGTGCTTTCAAGGGCTGTGCACGCATACTTGTCATCATGATCCGCCACCTGTTTCTGGAAAGCCTACATTTCCAGAAGTCTGAGCCTAGCTCCTCAGTACAGTAACTGGATGAATTTCCATTCAGTCTACCTCTCACTCCAGCTCTAGGAATGGGATTGAAGTCAACACCCTCTTCCGCTGATGGAGCAGGCGAGAGGAGGGTTAACTGCTCGCAGTAAGTCTTAGCTGCTCGCTATGTTCATGGGCCACCTGCGGGTGGGCAGCTGGAGCATCTCCTCCGCAAGCTCAGACAAGTGTCCACACGGGCTCTGAGTGGCACCCGAGACAACTATGACGGTCCGAGATGGTTATGTGTGTCTGAGCAGGAATTCTGGCCTAGAACATTCTTTCTATTTTGCTGGTAGTGAAATCAAGAATTTTCTCCTGGAATTACCTCAAAGAACCTGTTCTGGTAAGGAGAAAAGGAAGATGTGGGTGAATGCAGTCCAATGGCACCGAAATGCAGACTTTTGGGATACACTGCAGATTCATGGGCACGTTGCTTTTCTTCAATGGCTCTTTCCAGAGAAAATAAAAAAGACATAACATAGTTTTTCCCCTGTCCCACCTCCTGCCACCTCCTGGCTGCTACAGCATTTCAGTGGCACAGATCATTAAAAAACTAGTGAGGGGCAGATAACCGCTCCTGGGAAGAAGGAGAAGGGGTAGTGGTTGCCCTGTTTCCCAATGGTTCGCTGTCTCACCACCACACGGGGGCACAAATAGAGCGCCCAGCCTCCACCGCACAGGCACTCTGTTTCTATAGAAATGACAATGGCCGGAGAGAAATCTTCATCCTCTAAAATCTATGGTAAGATAGATGACAGTGTGATGGAAGGAAAGAGTACACTGAGTGCCGTATCGATCTACCTGCCAGGCCATGAATGGTGGGTAATAAAAATTTATTGAAAATTAGAAAAAAAAGTCACTTATTCTAATTCTTTTGAAAGGGAGTACTGATGTTGCATGTGAATAAATCCTCCCCTCCCCCAGGGCTCCGTCCCCACCCTCCCACCAGCCAACCCTCCAAACAGCACGGATTTAAAAATCTTGCAATTTTATTTGCATATAAAGGCCGCTAGATATAGAATATCACAATAAATTTAAAGAAACAACTGCTTTCCTAAATTTCATTAACAAGATAACATAAAATAGAATAAAGCTCAACAGCATTTACAATGGGAAAACAGAAATGACTATTTGCGACAATATTTTGTGCTAGCGAAGATTGCATCGACACACAGTGCAAAATGGGGGCAGGGAGAGGAAGTAAGAAGACAATTCAGGGTATTTAAATATAAAGGACAACTAAGCCTTATTTTAGTTAGCTTCCATTGCATCCATTAAAGTCTATACACGCCTGTAACTGTACCTAGATTGAACTCAAGCTCTTTAAGACCTTGAGTTCTGAGAGAATGTGTGAGCTCCTTCGGACTTCTGATGCCCAGCTATACGCATCCCTTCGCAGCTCTACTGTCCTTGGCAATATTAAACTCCTAACTTAGTTATAATACACAAAAAAATACTTATATATATAAACCCATATTAAAAAGGAGTCTGCACACTCATTTTTTTTTTACTGCACGAAATACCTGCTCTTGACAGATTCCGTTTCCATATTTTTAAAGCTAAAATAATTTAAAAGAAACAAACAAACAATGAGACCTTGTATAACCACAGTATGGATCTCACGAACTGAGCCATCCTTTGAACGAGGGCCATTCCCTTCCCTTGACACAACTTTCTTTATAGTGAGAATGTGAAGGGAAGTCTTTTTCCACGCCGATTTTTGTTGAAAAGATTACTATAAATCCGGGCCACGTCTGCAAAAAAGAAGTATTACCAAGAAAACAACAACAAAACATCAAAAAATAAAGCAGTTCAAACAATACTCTTAAACAGCTGTGCAAATCTGGTTGGTTTTTAAAACACTGCCTACCTGTTTCTTTTTTTCTTTTTCTTCCAGCTTAAAGCATATTAAAATAAGACTTTAATCACCTTTTAAAAAGAAAGCTTGGCTGTCCTTTGGTGAACACTAACAATTTACAATGGCGTGGCCTTTGAGAAAACAGAAGTCATTTTACAAATTCACAATGCTCCTCTGATTTCAAATGGATACCCCATTTAAAAAATAATAATAATAAAGAAGAAGCACAACCTCTAGCATCATTTTTTTTTTTTTTTGTTCCAGCAATTTACAAAAAGAACTCACAGGATCTGGAAATAAACAAGTAAGAGAATGTAAATTTATAATTAGAAAAAATGGCAGTTTATAGACCTTCCCTCACATTCCAACTGGGTATTCAGAGCTTCAGGAACCCTGTGGGTTTGGAAGGTCAAATATAATTGGAGGGTTGGTCGGTTGAAAGCTGACTGTACACGTTGAGGCATTGATGTACGTTGTGTAACCGTCGGTCATAATGCCGTAACCTGTGGGGAGAGAGTGTCACGCTTACTGTAACATATACAAGTAACAGAGACTCGATGCAGGGCCATCAGGCAAGGAAAACAAACAAACAAAAAATCTCTGCCAGTGGGTAGTGAGATGAAATTCAGTGGAGCCTCCCCAGACATAACAGCTTTCAGAAACAGCCTTCTGGTTTTATTCTACTTTCTTTAGAGGAAGAGTCCTCTACTTCAAAGAAAAGTGCTTCCTGTCTCCTTATTTAAATACTAGATCTGTCAGTGAAAGGCTGTAAAATGTCTTTACTAGTGCGAATATAAAAAAATTTTCTCCCCTCTTTTTAAAAGATAACTGTCATTTCAAAGCTCTATGGTAACCATTGCATTCTAGGGGACAGAAGGAGTAACATAAACTCAGGGACACATGTCCAAACCCCAAAGAGTGTTTGGATGAATGGAGGAGGGCTGAGCGTTGCATTGGGAGCTAGGAGACAAGGATGCTCAGCGCCTTATCTATGAAATAACATCTAAACTGCCTCAATGAGAGCTAACAAGAGCTAACAGTAAGCGATGTTATCTTCCTTGAACTGTGTGGCTTTGAGGCTGAATCCCATTTCATTCAAAAGAATAGAGTAATCAAACGTCCAAGTGATTTGGAGAAACATCACCCTAGGACACTGCTTTCTAAGCTTACCTGGACACTGGATCAAGCAAAAACACTTCCCATAGGCAGTATAAATCTCGTGTAACCTATGGGAAGAAAGCTAAGAAAGTTTTTCTGGGTCTTTGGTATGTATGATCCTTTTATGATTTTTAATATGTTGTATTTCCAGCATGGTTCCAAATTTGCATACTTCCTTGGATACCCTGTTTGCCTTAGAGCCTCTGCAATTAAGCTTGTACTTCTATGTTGGTATCCGGTTCTGTGGCACAAAAAAAATATATCCGTGAAAAAATAAAATTTCCAGGATTTATGGAACTAACTGATAAGGTTTCCCCCCTACCTTCCAAATTGCTAAAATTTCTCCAAGTAAGCCTGTGGAGAGCTTAATGAGGGTGAATGGAAAAATCTCTTAAGAAAAGAAAAGAGGCATTTAAAACGTGCACTGTTTAGTTCTGGGGTCATACAGTCTTGTTATCTCCCTCCATCAGGAGGCTGGTATTTGCCCTCTCTCTGCCCTCTTCAGCTGTCTTAAGCGAATAAAATTGAGACAAGTTTATTTGAATATGATCTCCTCCCTTTTAAGCAAGTTTATTATTTTGGGACTTCAGTGGAATTCCCCAATTGTCTGGCTAGTTTAAAGCTAATTAATGATTAAAAAAAGAAGATGAAATGCAAACCTATGGGAGTGCTGCAGGAATTCAAACCTGAGAGCTGTCCTGAGAAATGCTGCTTAGACATGCGCTCTCCCCACCTCAAATCATGCACCATGCCTCAGAGAAGTGCCCTCCTTTGCAAGGGGTCCAGCTCAGCTAGGTCAGGAAGACACCACTCTTGGGGAGCAGCACCCCTGCTTTTTATCCACGCAGCTGGCACCTGCGCTTAGAGCTCGCTTACTCTCTCTGGCCTCAGTAGGATGATTTCCAATATGCTCTTTATTCCCTGCCTAAACCAGGAAGCCTCTGGATTTGTGGGCTTTGAAAAGCAAACTATTTTTTTTTTTTTGCTTCATCAGGTATATAAACCTAAACCCCTCAAATGCAGATTCATAAATTACTTTAGAGAACGGCTATAAGCAGGAGATGGAGAGAATAGGGCAGCCGCCTACGTACACACACGCGCTCCACACATGCATGCACCTGAGAGAGTCCGGCAGGGCCAGAAAACGGAGGCTCGCCGAAGGGGTCTGTCCAAAGGCCCCTGGTTTGTAAAAGAGAGGACATACAAAACCTAGAACCCTGCGGCTTTCCTGGGAGACTTTCAGGTTCTGTGAACTTGACTCCGGCTTACTGTGAAAGGCAGAAAATGGCAAGTAGACGAGTTTCCCTTTAGGGGAGGTTTAATTATTCTGTTTAACCTCAGCCGGAGCTAACAGTGTTGATGATTTCTGAGAAGTCTGAAATGGTTTTCTGAGGTTAGTAAAAAAATGTCTACATGCAAATGTATAGGTTCCTGCCACTTTTATTATACTGCATGTCCAAAGTTGTTGTTTGAAGAGTGTCTTGCCTTCCTGGGTCTCTGTGTGCATTCTATATGAGGCACAGTATTTAGAGGTAGGGAGAGGCCATAGGAGTTACTTAGTCTACTATCCAGGCCATTTCTTACAACACCCTTGAAAAGAAAATTTGTCCTGTATGACTTCACAGCTGTTCTACAGCAGTGGTTATGAAACATTCCTCATCAGATCCTTGAAATTCCAGAAGCTGCCTGGGGCAGTACCAGGCTTTCTATAAGGTGGGTCAGACCTGGTTCCCACTCTCCAGTCTGTTTAAAATAGAGCAGCTCCATATAAAATATTTATCAGCATTATGTGCAGGTGTTTCTCCCAACATTTTATCTGATGGAAGGGCTCCACTGGTAGGAAGAGATTAAAAACTACTGCTCCAGTTCCTCCCGGGATAGCAAAGGTCCCGACTGTGGAATGGGATCATGGGTAAATGACACAACATGTCATGAGCTCCTTTCTTCTGCTCTTACCTTCATGAATTCCACCAAACACATGGAGCTTGGGTCGGACTCGCCTCTGGACTGTGTTTAAAAGCTCCACGCAGCCCACTCTTTGAAGCTCCTTTGGAACCCAGTCTCGAAAACCTAAGGGCAATATGCAATCAATACTCTTAATTTTCTTTCTTCAGGTAAGGTTTCATTTAGACTTTCAGGAAGCCATAACTCACAGAAGGTTTATTACATTATCTGTAATCCTAGCCTCTCCATTAAAGCTCACAATGGCTTTTAAGGAACTTTTCACTCGTCACTTTGTCTTCTTTAGGTTCTTGAAAGTTTTTTCTTTGGGGTTTCCATTTTTTTCTTCCTGTTAATTAACATTTTTTTTTTTTCCTGTAAGGGATTTGATTTATTCAGCCACGGGTTTCAAATCTTCTTCATGGGCCCAATGACATTTATTCCCGGCAGTCCCATATTACCTCTTTCTCTCCCAATTTAGTTACTTTTCTTTTTTATTATACCTTTCTGATAGCAGTTTACTTCCAAGAAATTCAGAGAAGACGGTTTGGGAGGGGCTGCCGGCAAACCAGCCATACGATACCTTGCCCTCTTTCGATATAGCAACTCTTAACCCTTGGAGCTTCCCGATGACCAAAGCTTGGAAATGCCAAGTTCCTCCTTCAGTCCCCTCTCTAGTGGTAGGCAACAACGGTGACCTCTTGGTGGCATGCAGGAAGCTGGGGCTAATTGACTACCTTCATGTGAAAGCCACTTAGTTCTACACTTAATGCAGAAAATCCATAAAAACTGACATCAATTATAGCAAAAGTCAGCTATCTGAGTGATTATGGTCCAAATGCCTCAGCAGGATGGGGTGTAAAGAAGGCAGGTGGGACGAAAGGCTAAATCATCATCAGTGGGAATCTATCCCGTAGCTCCATTAGGTGATTCCTACTATTTAGAAATGATCGTGCAGAAAGAGACAGGCGAGTTCATCCCACTTTGGCGAGACTGGAGAAATGAAGATTTAGCATCTCTGTAAAGACACGTCAGCTGCCGTGTGGGGAATAATGGCCAGAGAGTGTGGGAAGAACATCAGACGGAAGTGGGGGCCTATAAAAATCCAACCAGGGGTTTTAAAAGTGTTAATTAGAGGAAAAAAAATCCTTAGTCCATAGTAATTGGCATATTTCCTCATGGATGTGTTTTTCTTGAAGGGGGAAAGTATCTCATCTTATATGCAGTCACCAGAGAAAGCATCTTGCTCATTCCGTAACAGTCAAGTCCCATGGCTCGACGGCTTCCCTTCCCAGAAGGGGCAAATTCAAGGCCAATCCCACCGCCCAAGCCAGCCTTTTCTTAAGAATCCCAGTAATTGTACTGACTGAAGTTTGGCTTTATCTTATGAAAACTTTGCCTTATCTTTTATTTCACAACTCCAGACCTTACTGTGCTCTATGCACAGACACTAACTCCCTGGACATTTCATCTTTACTATTTACAAAGAGAGAGAGGGTAGTCTCCTCTGTAAGGATGTCTGAATTCTTCAGAGGCTAGAATTCAGACTTAACCATTATTACCACTTTTTTTTGGTACCAAAATTAATTACTTGATGAAGTCTGTGAATCAATCGACCAGTGCAAAAGTTATATTCCAAATAATACTTCAGGCATGTAAATGTTTCTATGCTGAGGATGTCCAAGTCCCTTATACAATAGTAAACATCCTACGGGGAATCATGCCTGCACCCAACCAGGCTGCTCAGAGAAAGTACCCACTTGGCTGGGATGCCATCTCTGGAGGATCTCAGTAGGTGGCTGTGCTGCAGAATATTTCACCAGCAATTTAAAGATTCAGTCTCTAATGATTGCAAAATAGGGAAGTGAAATTAATTATGACTTGATAAAGATTGTGGATACATAAAATCTTTTAAAACAAGGGTTGGGTCTGGGCTGGTGTGGATCAGTGGATTGAGCACCTGCCTGCAAAACGAAGGGTCACTGGTTCGATTCCCAGTCAGGGCACAGGCCTGGGTGGCAGGCCAGGTCCCCAGTAGGGGATGTGCGAGAAGCAACCAATCTGTTTCTCATACACTGACGTTTCTCTCACTCTCTTTCTCCCTTCCTTCCCCTCTCTCTAAAAATAAATAAAATCATAAGTAAATAAATAAAAAAAACACAGAATGGAGTGATATGGGTTAAGTAAAGAAAGTATGGGGACAACGATTCCTAAGTGATGAAAATATCCAGAAGTGCTGCTCTTGTGCAAATCTATAGCTTCCCCATCTGCAACAGACCTGGCCCCCTGCTCTTAGTTTCCCTGGCATTAAAATGTGCCAGCGTGGCTCAGGCCCTGGTCCTCCCCCTTCCGCTGTTTCTTTGTGCCACTCAAGAGAATCTTCCGTGTGAGGCAGGAAAGCAGCACTTAGTGGTTTGGAGGGGAAAACATCTACACAGATTAAATTCACATTAGGGGATGAGAGTTCGACTTTTTATTTTTCAGGCTTGCGTAGGAGGAAAGAGACATGGATAATAACCCCAAACCACTGGGAAAAAAAGAGTGTGAAAATAATTTATTTTTGTATGAAGTGTTTTCCCCATCTCGCCAAATCCAGATGATTGAGAAAATTTTCTAGTACGTAAAAATGTGTTACGAGGGTAGATTTCATGGTATGTGTTTTTTACCACAACTTAAACAGAGAGAGAAAGAAAACTTTCCTACTGAAAGTGCAACATCTGAGTTTCCTCAGCACCCCTGAGTTTGGCCAGGGAGGGTCCTGGCATAACAGATATGAGGAGATGGGCGATCAAGGCGGTAGTCATGCTTGGAAAATATTCTGTGGCTAAGTCAAGCCACACATGAATAACTAGAAGACCATTATATAAGGCAAATAATCACCTTTCAACCCATAATCTGGGTAATGCAAGGCAGCCTGGAAGCACACTGGCAACCTGAACCTGGATGCAGGTTCCATATATCTATGAGTATCTTTAAGTAATATTCAGTGTTAAGTCCTTATTTAACACCTTAGCTAAAAAAGAAAAAAAAATCCTTTTCTCACATAATCAGCACAATTGTTAAAACTTTAAAGATCTCCCAGGTTACACTATGATACGGAAAAAAAATGAGCTCTTTTGAACAAAAGTTTCCATCATTCCACTGCCAGGCATAAGTCCTGTGATTGGGAGGGAGGTCCCTGTCTTCCTTCCATCCTCCACCCTCTTACGCCAAAGTGAATACGTTCCTAAAATAAATTATCAAGCTCAAAAGACTGTGGTGCTCCATACTCATTTGATTTTCCCTGACTTGACTAAATCAAAAAATTTAATTTCAAGAACACCTGTAAGCCCAGCAGAACTGCTGAGTTTAATTATCATACTGGGTTTCTTTAAAGACACTGACACTTTTCTTTTTGTATCCACTTTTTTTTTAAAGGAAAATGATTATGTACCCAAAGCATTTATTCATTATGCTTGGGAAAAAAAGGCATCTCGTATGACAAAAGGACAACCTTTGCTTCACTTACCTAGAGGAGGTCCGTGCGTCATGAGAATGTCGATGCCCTCAGGGATGAGGTTCCATTTGTCCAGCAGAGACTGACCTCTGGGCAGGTTAAAGCCCCATCCATTAAACCACGGGGTCCTTGGGGGAAGATAATGCACATGGTATCAGGCCAGCAGAGCCTCATTTCTGCCCTGCAATATTTCTCCCTCGCACATTTCCCCCACCACTTGTGTTGCTCTCTTTTCTCTTTTTGAGAGCTGGCCCTGGCGGCGGGATACTTTTTTGTTGACTGCTTCAAAACCAATCCATCGGAAAGCAAGTGCGCAGCTTGTGAATTGTTCCGCTAGAAAGGGGCACAAGCACCTTGGCAGTGGAGACTTTCCCAGCCGACTTCTATCAGAATCTTAACAATGCTTTGTCTTCCCCCAAATCTCAGGGTTTCCGAAAAGGCCGAGCCCAAATCCCAAGCCATTTCCACCCTTCCTGTAGTGCCTGAGAGCTAAGAAATTCCATCATACGCCCTCTTCCTCCCCATCACCGTGGGATGGCTTCCCCAGAAAGATTCTCGCTAACGTCCTCGGAGAAAAAGACAAGTGCTCCGAGGGCACGAGCCTCTGGACGTGGGGAATACCCTGGACTGAGACTGCGGAAGAAAATATGGGGGCTCTGAAAGGTGAGATGGAACACAGTAAACAAAAGGCCACTGTGGAGTTTCCCTCCTGTCACCAAAAGGAAGATTCCTGGGGACATCCCTGGTCATTCCAGAATCTACTCTCCTGACAGTGAATGTGAGCATTCCACCCCCTTAGGAACTCCTGCTCTAGAAATTAGGTTTTGCGATCAATGCTTTGGGGTCTATGCCCATCCAATGAACGTTTCTAACTGGAGTTGAAAAATGTCTCTACCATTTCTAGTAACGAGAGTGATCAATTTTCCTCTACAAATACGATGGGGCTACATTACATCAGAACCAAGCAGTTCAATGCTGTCTTAGTCCCAAGTATCTAGCTATAATCATTATATTTTGAAACTGATTCTTCTGTTCTGCAGGAAAGGTCCAATTTGTTATGGCATACATATAAAAGACAAGTTCATCAGTGTTCTGGTCTAGGCCTTTTTCTTTCAACTTAAGCTGCCCTTTCCATGCCTCCTGAAAGAGGTGACCTTGTTGGCGAGCCAGGTCACCTGGTCAGTCACAGCTAATTAAACAAGGTGCATTCTTATTTAAAGCCAATCATGGCCCAGAGTAATCAGATTCTCTCAAGACTCTGAACTCAGAAACACTGACCCAGCATTCATTTGGGGGTGGACATGTGTGGTCAAGGCCAGAGGGGAAAGAGTGGCAACTGAAGAACAAGGGAAAATCCACATTTTTGTTCTCAGTTCTCGCTGAGGTTGGAGAGAGAAAGTTCCAGGCATAAGAGACTGTGTAGTCCCAGTCAGAAAAAGAGAATCCCTAACTGCTCTCCAAGTCCCTAAGCCACCCTCAAGAAGCTTACTTGTGATAATAGTAGTAATGTACAGTAATAATAATTATTAAAGCTATTATTTATTGAATGCTTATGTCAAGGTGCTATTCTAAGCACTTTATTGGTAGTAACATATTTAAACCTCACAAACTTATGATGTGGGTACGATTATTAATCCCATTTTACAGGCAAGAAAACTGAGGCACAGAGAGGTCAAGTGAACACAACCAACAAATCGGATATAAACCCAAGCACGCTGGTTGCAAAACCGATACTCTTAACCACCACGCAATTCCTCTTCTTTTTTATATTTACCTGCATTAACGCAGAGCTTTCTCACCCTCCATGAGCCTCTTCTGTACCCTTTCAAGTTTGAATGCCTTGTTGCTTGAAGCCAAATGAGCTCTTAACTGGAATAATATATCTACGCTGTGCGTCTGAAATCCAGCAATAAGATGATGTAGTGGACGCCAATGGTTTTTGCCTGCTCAGTTCTTTCCTCTTTCTTTCCGTAACGGCATCCAAATTTCCTCTAGGAAACCTTTCCCTCTCCAACTCAGTCTGCGTGCTCTGGTAAGGCTGCCTTATTCCCGCTCTAGAATGAAACATGGATGGCCTCTCCCTGGACAGAGATTGGCCTAGGGATGTACGTATGACCCCAACCAGGCCAATGAAAGTCAACTTCAGGATTTTGCTGGTGCTACCTAAAAAGAAGTCATGGTTTCCTCTCTGGGATCCGGAGTCTTGAGATCTGTGTGAGCCTGGAATTGTCTGGGAGCTACCTTTGCCACCATGCAGGTACCCTGGTCTTGAAAATCAACCCATCACAAGGAAAGCCAAGAAACGAAGTGCCCTGATGACCCTGTTGGACGTCCAGCTGTACCTGAAGCCAATCACATTTTCCTTCTAAGTCCCTAAGCTGGAAAAATCCTTCCCTTTTTATTAGTCTGAGTTAGATCCTGCTTCTTGCAACTGCAAGAGTCCTAATACATACAATTATTGCATTTAGTATAGAAATGACTTATGTACCTATGGTAGGCAACGATCTCCCGCCACCCCCAAGATGCTTATGTTCTAAGTCTTGGAACCTGTCAATATGTCACCTTGCATGGTAAAGGGGAATTAAGGTTGCCATGGAGTTCAGGAGCTAATCAGCTGATCTTAGATTAGGGAGCATGTCCTGGATTACCTGGGGAGGCCCAAGGCAGCCACAAGCTTCCCTGCAAGTGGAGGAAGGAAACAGAAAAGGAGTTCGGAGCAACGCAGTGTAAGAAGGACTCGACCTGCTGCTGTCGTTGGCTTTGAAGCTGAAAGAAGAGAACACGGGCCAAGGAATGTGGGCAGCCTCTAGCCGCTGGAAAAGATGAGGAAAGAAAAGGAATCCTCCCACAGAGCCTCCAGAAAGGAACACAACCCTGCTGACACCTAGATTTTAGCCTAATGAGCCCCCTGTCAGAATTCTGACCATCAGATGGTAAGATAATAAGTATGTGTTGTTTTTAAGCCACGGAATCTGCCGTGATTTGTTGCAGCAACAACAGAAAGTGAACACAGTACCTAACGCGTCTGAGCTGGCTATAAAACTCAGAGACTGTGAGTGGCACTGACCTCGCAGGGCACGCAGCCCGTGTTTAATCAGCACAGCCCTCCCACAGCCACACTGCCTTGCCCCGTTCCATACGATGCTTTTGGTTTCCTCTGAGGAAAAGGCAGCACTTGCTTTCTTATTCCAGGTTGCCTGCCGGGGGCGGGGACGGGGGCAGGGAACCAGGCATCGCAGGCATGGGGATAGTGCCAGGTAGACCTGTCTTCTTAGCCTCCCTGCCTTCAGAATCGAAAACATTTTCATTAGAGTCTGAAACAGAACTTTCCCTGTTTGCAATGCCCATCCTTCCTCTTCATTTTATTGTACAATGACCCCTTTCCATGATTTGTCTTACAAGCAAAAAGAAAAAAAAAAAAAAAAAGGCAAGTTCAGAACCCAGTGAAAACTCAGTGAGCATTTTGGCAGGGGAGAGAGAAAAATAAGCAAAAACATCTGTTTTCCTAGATTTTGAAAACAAGCTTCTGGGCCTATGGTTCCTGTCTGAATGGCAAATAAAGAAGGTTTGAAAGAGTCCCAAGCACACCCACGTAGCTGGTACAATGAGGGGCTCTGATTTCACCGCCAGGGTCTGCCCGAGGGCAGTCGGCCTCTGAACCGCCAGGACGGCCCAGGGGCGTCCAGCGTCAAAGAAACAGGACTTCAGTTTTTCAGTTTCCCCTCAAAGAGTGTTCTCTCAGAAACTCACGGCCCGATTCCCCCAGGAAATGCTCAGTGTTATAACTTCACTGTAAAAGATTAAGACAAGCCCATGGTCTATAGACACCCCAAATTTCCCTCGGTTAATGTTAAGCTTGTGACAAAATCCAGAAGTTTCCAAGGGTAAACTTTAAAAATGCCTGGCTTTTACTCTGACTCAAACCTGTAGTTGTAGGAGAGCAACAGAGAGGTTAAAATGTAGGAAAGGGAAGATTTATCAAGTCCCCGATTTGTGTTACATTGGGGTTTCGCACAGACTATTAAATTTAATTTCTCACAACAATTTTTAAGCTACATATTATAAGCTTTATTTTTAGATAAAAAAGTTTAAGACCAGTAACATCAAATAACTTGTAAGCTCAGATCTGAACCCAGATTTCCTTGCTCCAAAGCCTGTGTTTTTCCTTTGCACAATGCTGAACTAAAGTCTCATAGCTCAATTTCAGTTCTGGCTCTCACTTACATAAAGTAAAAACAGGGCTGCTCCATACAGTCTCTTAGGCTGTGCACTGTACAACCCGGAAGACACCACGACATCATGTGATTGAGGTGGCTCTTAGTGGAAATGAAGAGTGGCCCTGACCGGGTAGCTCAATTAGTTAGAGCACTGTCCTGATACGCCAAGGGTGCGGGTTCAATCCCAGGTCAGGACAAACATAAGCAGCAACCAATCAATGCATAAAAACAACAAATCGATGTCCCCGTATCTATCTTCCTCTGGCTCACTCGCTCTTAAAACAAACAAAATACCTAAGTGTGCCTTCAACAATGTTGCCATAGCTTTTCTGGGACGTTTTCTGTTCCTCTGTATCCTCTAGATAAGGCCTTTTCTACAAGACAGTGGCCGGGCAATGGGAAAAGCAGCCTAGGGACAGGTTCCAGAATTCTCCCAGCCTGACATAATATTGTAAACGGGGCATACAGAAGTTGGCAGACCTGTGTGTTAATTCTCAGTCTGGTATCAATTCACTAACTCACGTGGACCTTCACTGAGAGAAGGACCCTCAGTGGGCCAGTTTCCTCTTCTGAGAACTGAAAGAGTGGGTGGATTTTTTTACTGGATTTCAGGATTGTTTTTAGGTTGCAGGTATTGTACGCAGAAGCCCGTACCCAAAGCAGGCACCTGCAGGGCGCCCTTGCTGGGGGCTGGGGAGAAGGAGCTCTGAGTCTGCTTGCTCACTCAGCGCCGCCCCCGCCCCCCCGCTTTCTGACCTACACCTCTGAGCACAACAGGCAAAACCTGGCCCTTGATGATCTTCCTATGATCCAGAAACCCTAACGTTCTAAAAGTCTGCGCAGACTATCAATGTTCTGAGTAAATACTGTGAATTGCTTTCAATGAATTACCTAAATTGCCTTTAAGGGAC